CCCCTCCTCCTATTCACATCGTCCCTCTACCGCCGTCATCGCCTTTCATGGGAGATCTTTGATCACATTTCACTCATTGTGTTTGAAAAGAATAATCTACAACTATAAGTCTCACTCCATCCATCATGCCATGAGCGGACACCGCTGCACCTTCATCCGACTTGCATGCGGCGAGCATCCGCAGCTGTCGGGCTGTACCAGGGAGAAGTACTTCTCTATCCTGAAGAAGTCCACCTCCTGATCCTTGCGTTGGTCTTCCCCGACGTTATTCCAGTCGTCGTCGATGGCAAGAAAGTCTCCGATGTCCGGTACGTCCATCGCTCCCTCTCCGCAGCGCCCAACCTCCACGAAGACACCCTTGGACTTCTTCTTGTTTCTCTTGCCGAAGCCGTACAGCACATCAGACGTGCTCTCTCCGAATGCGATATCCAGCTCCTTCACGATCGAGCTGTCGTCGGTGGGAGCATCGAAATGGTCCAGGGAGCCGTCGATCTCCATGCAGAAGGCCAGTTCCGACAAAGACAAGTTGTCTCCGTCCACTGAGTCAGATATGCTCATGGATCGGTGGGATCCAGTCGACACGTTGTCAGACTCGAATACAATAGGTAGATGCTGATCCAGGAAGCTCATTTCTGACTGTTGCGGTTGGGGAGATGAGGGAGGTGAGGCTGGGAACGAGATTCGAAGTTGTGGTCAACGGAGAGCCTGAAGGATGTTGTTGTTGTCTTCTCTTCCTTGCTTGTCTGTTGCTTGCTTGCTTGCTTGTTGCTGATGCTGTTGTGGTCAGTGTGTGTTTCTCTTTTCGCAATGATGAGAAGGTCCCAACCGGGGGCTTTAACGGGGGACTGGAGTACCAGGGGTGGAGTGGGCTCTCTTGTACTTTTGGTAGGGTAGGGTACACGACTTGCACCTCCTGGTGGGTGGTGGGACTGTTTGTTACGGTGTTGATGTGCAGGGGGTAGTCTGGATGACCCAATGTACCCGGTGTATTACCCAAAATATTTCGGGAATGAGAGGGGTGTCGTATGAAGCTACCTCTGTAAAAAGGGTGGGGCAGATTGTTACGATGACCGGTCCTGAATTACCTACACCCACTTCATCGGTAGGGGTACTTCGAATACCTGAAATGCTCGAAGGGGGTGGGGGTTGTTACGATTGTGAGTTTGCTGTGCTTGCCCGGGATGGGGAGCAGGTTTATTCATGATCGAGGGTGGGGTCATCAAGGAGGGGTAGTTTTTAGAGTGAGATGTACTAGAAAAGTGGGTGGTAGCTGAAAAGGAGAAGTCCTAGTCTTGGGCTGGGGTGGTGAGCAGGCGCAAAGAAGCACGAGAACGGAGGTCGTACACCACTACCTACCCCTCCTTGAAATGTTCCATTGAGCAATGTACCCCTACTTTTAACTGTGGAACAACGGGTGTATACTCATAGCGACTCTGAGTGTGTAGGTGGGGTGGGTCTTTCCCTGAGCCGCCTCCGTTCTCCCACCGTTTGATCTTGAAAATGAGTGATTTCATTTCATGTCAGTCATCATTCCTTTTAAAACCCACTTTGTAATCCTGAGGTAAAAACAAAATTGAGTCTTCTTGAATTATTTTTACATTTGTTTGAAATTAAAAAATCCAATTTCAGGTAAAATTTAACTCACATTGAAACTTACAATATCTCAACCTTACACCTCAGCAACCCCACCCCCACCCCCACCTAGATCATTACATTACCCATCGATAAGTGTACAGAACCGACGGTCTCATCCTTTCGAAACATTGTATTAATGCATCCTTTCACAACAAACGGATTCAGCTGATGCAATCGGTTATGAATTCATGTCATCTACTGTGATGGAAACACGTCTTTTCATCTCACACGCCCCCCTTATCCCTGGCAGATCGGGGGTTGAAGAGGTAGCTATAAACTTATAGTGTCGTGACTACAGGTTATGGTGTAGAGCCTATAAATTATAGAGTTTATACATAAAGTTCATACCAATATGAAGGTTTATGGAGGCCGTCACGCTCACTGAGTCAGCTTCTGATATCCGCTGACCAATCAATTTGTGACTCGGATCGGATCGGAGGCCGGGTACCCTTGGAAAGTTTGCTCCGATAGGCTCAGTGATGAGCCTCGGCGGAGCCAGCCTTGTCCGAGTCGCCCGGCCGGGATGATCGGCCCCGCCGGAATTGGCAATGTGGCCGGGCAGTGCGGCACACCGTGGCACGGTGACTCGCACGGCAGTGGCTGACGCGGCTGAGCCTAGCACTCACCGTCGACGGTCAGTGAAGCACAGTCACCGCCGGCCGTTCGGCCGACCGTGACAGTGCGCGCGGCGGCCACGTTGCCTCACATACTGAGCGCCGGGGGGCCCGGCCGCTGCTCAGTGCGGCCGGCCTTGAACTGATGGCACTCAGTGACTGAACTTCGGAAGTCGTGACGGTGACTTTTAAGCTGACCGAGTCTCAGCCTGAGCGGCGTACTGAAGATACTGTGACTACTTGAAACTTCACTGCCGGGCGGCACCGTCTGCAGTCACGCGGCGGATCGGACTCGCGTATTTTTGCCAACTTGTCTCAGTAGTGGCAGGGTGACTTCAGTCAACGGCCCGGCCGGGCCACGGTTGATCGGCCCTCAGACTCAGCTCGGCCCCGGTGGCATGATCGTCAAGGTTAAGTCACAACGACGGTTAAATATCTGGCTGTACTCAAAGTTAAGTTAGAAATCAGTACGAGGACAATCAGGAGAGTCATCGAGGAGGCTTGCCCCTGACAACTGTCGCACTGTTAAAGATCAGTAGGAGCCTCCGACACGTACTGATCGCCCGGTCACCCGGTCACCGGGTATACCAGCTGCTTCTGAGGTGGGCTCTCAGAGGAACAGGGTTTGATATGGCCCAGAAACCATCGTTACATCAAGCAGAGGTGGCCGAGTTGGTCTAAGGCGTCGGTTTAAGGCACCGATCTCTTCGGAGGCGCGGGTTCGAATCCCGTCCTCTGCAGTCTTTTTCCTCCCCCACCCACTTTTAGTTTTATAACCTGCCACGACCTTTAAAAGTCCTCTCTGTACGGACCCTCCAGTGGTCGATTTATAATGTCTATAAGTGTTTTGTAGCCAGGGATCGCTGTAGGCTATTTGCTTTTAAAAATATTTCTTGGTCCTTTCGTTTTGCTGTATACCCCCAAATTGCATGAAAATGTGTAGAATCCTTCGAAATCTATTGAAAAATTGCAGTCCTCTGGCTCTCCATTGTTTCAAAAGCCTCTAAAACTTTCTCCTGTTTTAGTTATTAAATTTTGTAACTATGTTTTCCATACATGTTATTAGAATCCTGGAATCTTTCCAAAAACATTTTTAATATCAAAACTTATTTTAAAATGCTGTTGAACCGATCGAGGGGACTGGCATGACGGGACAGCAATCTGCATGGCGCGGGCCAGTCGTCCTGCCTTAGCTCCTCCTCCCCTCTTCTGTGCTCTCTCTCCCCATCATCCTCCTAACTTTCTCCATGATGCTTCCTTGCCCTCCTCGCTACCTTGATTCCTTGTCGTTCCGTTTGCGGGATCCCACCACTCTTTCGTTGCTTTCGGAGTTCCTGCTCTGGCTCTGCCGCCACGCCTCCTCTATATGACGGCTCCCTATCTGTCAACAACTATCGACATGGCTCACAAAGAGCTGTCATGAAGTTCCTCTCGTTCTTTGTTGCTTCCATCTTGCTGCTCCTTTCTTGCTATCTCATTGGTTCTGCGCCTTTTGATTACCTCAACAGACTTTTGTTCCTGCCGCTCTCGATAATTTCCCTTCTCTTCCATCGTCCACCTTCCGTTTTGACATTCTACTCCTGCTCGATCTCCTCGTTGACGCTTGAACTCGCTCTCTCCCCTCCTACTCACCTTGTCGTGACATGCAGGGATGAGGTCGCGATGACAGCGCAGCACCTCGGTCGTTAGAGGTATGCCGGCCTAGTCCTCCTCCTGCTCCATGACTTCAGTCACTTGACTCGTCCTCCTCTTCTCCAGCACGAGATGGGAAACTGTTTCTCGCAAGCCCCCGAAGCCTCCCACGATCCTGTTCCGATCGGGGGGAGCAAAGTCCAGCAGGCCGACGTTAAGAGTCAAAGGGTGTTGCCGATAGAGGTGGAAGTTCACAAGGAAGACATCAAAGAGAAAGGTCACTCCTCCTCCTGCTCCCCTTGCTCCTCCTGCTCCCCTTGCTCCTCCTGCTCCCCTTGCTCCTCCTGCTCCCCTTGCTCCTCCTGCTCCCCTTGCTCCTCCTGCTCCCCTTGCTCCTCCTGCTCCCCTTGCTCCTCCTGCTCCCCTTGCTCCTCCTGCTCCCCTTGCTCCTCCTGCTCCCCTTGCTCCTCCTCACACCCTGCAGGTAATGCAAGCTTCTAACTTGTCTCTCTAGATGTAGTTGAGGTTCAGACTGTCAGTCAGGCTATCAGTCAGGTCGAACGTGGGAGCAACCGAGGTAAGGAGGCTGTGAGGAAGAGGAAAGATGTGCGCACTAAGAGGCTGTCTTGTTTCCACCCCCCCGCGGCCGGTCTGCGATGAGACGAGCGTGTCTGTGCTGTCTGTGCTGTCTTGGCGCTGCCGGCGAGTCTCACCCTCACTGACCTGAGCAACAGTGAGCGACGAGCAGCGGACGGGGGAGGACAGCGACGAGTTTGTGGACGCCTACGACGATATCCGTCACTTCGAGAGGAGCGAGACTCCGGAAGCTCCACAGCCTCCAGGTGAAGAGGAGAGCTGTGCTGAGAGCGATCGTGAGCCGTCGTGACAGTCGTCAACGGGGAGCCGCAGGAGGCAGAGAGGAAGCGGATACTAGAGGTAGCTCTTGCTGACTTGACGTGTTGGCGGGGTTGGACGGGAGGATGTGCTTGCCGATGTGCGACGCTGCTACGATGGAGTTGAGAGCTTGCGGCAGGTTAATCCTATGCTGCTGGAGAAGCACGATCGAGTGGGCAAGGGATCTAGCGGCTCAGTGTACAAGGCGTTACACGTCGAGACAGGTGGATTGAAGGAAGGGGAGGAGGGAGGGCGGCGGCGGTGGGGAGAGTGGTGGAGATGATGATGACGGTGGTCTTGTGATCTTGACAGGGAGGATCGTCGCGTTGAAATGTGTCCCTCTTACTCTCAAGGCGGGCGATAGGGAGGAGGTTGTCGTGAAGCTGCGGTAAGAGCCCTCGTCGTCACCTACCTTGTCCTTGTCCTTGACCTTGTCCTCCTCCTCCTCCTCTCTACCTCGTGCTCGTGCTCTCTTGCTCTCGTCCTTTCGTGCTCGTGCTTGTCCTTCTCCGGCATTCTCTCCCTCTGATTCCTCTCCTTTCTGGCAGGGAGCTCTACAGCTCCGACCACCCCAACGTCTGTCAGTTCCATGGAGCCGAGTACGATGCCGAGCGTTCCACCATCCTCATTGCCATGGAGTACATGGACCTCCGTTCTCTCAAGGTGCCCCGCTCCCTCGCTCCCTCGCTCCCTCGCTCCCTCGCTCCCTCGCTCCCTCGCTCGCTCCATCCTCCCTCGCTCCCACCCACCTCCTCCTCCCCCTCCTCTCACCATGGCCTCGATGTCTCCTCCTACCGCCAGCACTCGCACGGGGTCGGGATACTGCTCGCCGAACACGGCGCGAAGAGCCTTGATCTTCATCGCCTTCTCCAGCGGCACGACCTTGTCAAACTGGTCAAACTCCAAATTCCCAGCTGAGAAATCTGCTGGACCTGAGCTGAGACCTCCAGACCCTCGTCGACCTTCTGACGGCAGATGGTCTCGACCTAAGAAAAGTGAGGAGGAGCTGGGAAAGAGCTGAGGGAGGGAGGGAGGGAGGGAAAGAGGGAGAAAAGGGGGCATAGGTCACCTCAGCGAGCTGCTGGGGGGGTGAGAGCACCCTTGGCGGTGAAGTCAAACCTCAACTTGTTGTCGTCGCAGAGAGAACCCTGAGAGAAAAAGTGAGAAGAGGAGGAA